AGAGAGAGAGAGAGAGAGAGAGAGAGAGAGAGAGAGAGAGAAGAAGGAGAGAGAAGAAGGAGAGAGAAGAAAACATGTCATTCCCAAGTCCAGCCTGTTGTTACATGGTATAGAGAAGCATGGAGGTTTTTGTGCTAGTGAGAAAGTTTTACTGACTAATAGACAGTGTCTTCCAGTCTTCCTCAGCTGGAACTGGGGGTTGACATTTCATAATAGCAAGTGGGACTATTAAGTTAATATTAATGATTGACCTGCTCCTGTGTCTACAAATGACTGACCAGGTTTGCTTGGCTTTGTGAGCTGCTGATGAAAGAACACCGATGTTTGTATTCTGTAGGCTGATGCACAGCAACTTCTGTCCTGCTCTGAAGAGATATGCTGTGACCTGGATTGTGTACATGAGTTAACTGCCCTCCTGACCCATCAGTGCTGACACATGGAGAGAAACTTGTTCATCAGCACACTAGAAAGAGTCCCAGGTATATGGGTGCCCTGGTTTGAGTGAGTGGCACAGGTTTTTTGGTAGCAGGGTAGGGGGCTACAGCAATGCCCCCTGCGAGAATCTTCTCAAAGCTCCCCTGGCTCCAAGTCGGACCCACCTTTGCACCAAGGCCAGGCCAGTTACCTGTGCCTCTTCGATAATGTATTTAGGAAGGAGAACCTGGGCGGAGTTGTAGAAGTTGTGAGGAGAACATCTGTGTGAACACTGAGGTCAGTGAAAGAAAGGAGGAGAAGGGGGTGAGGTACGATGGAGCAGAAACTCCCTGGTATCTGCAGCCTGTGGGGGGCCCCATGGCGACCCAGGTGATTGGAGATGAAGAAGGCCAGGACCCCATGGAAAGAAGACACTGTTGTTTCTGTTCAGTGCTGTGAAGATTGCAACATGTTGGGATGACCCAGACACCCGTGGGACTGAATTATGTCAGAGTTAGTTTGTGGAGGACTGTCTCTTGTGAGAGGGGGACCATGCTGGAACAGGGGAGGAATGCTAGAAGCTTATTCCACGCCCCTGGGTGGAAGAAGCAGCAGGACTGACTGCACCCCCCATTCCCTGACCCCTGCACTGCTGGGTGGGGGAGGTAGAGATACTGGGGGCAAAACTGAGCCTCAGAAGAAGGGAGGGATGGGGGAAGGTGTTTTCAAGACATGGTCCTAGTCTGTCTGTTAAGTGTTGTTGTTAGTGTCTGTATTAAATTTTATGTTCTTTATTTCTTGTCCTGATGAGTCAATGAGTCTGGTTTTTGCCTGTGCCTTAAAGCATGAGATCATCCCTCCCTGTCCTTATCACAGGTTCGTGGGACTTTTTATTCCCTCCTTCTCAGCACTGGGGGGAAAGGGGGAGTGAGTGGTGTCTTTGCTTATTTTCCCCTTCTCAGCACTAGAAGGGAAGGAGGGAGTGAGCAGCTACATGGTCCTCAGTTGCCCTCTGAGCTTGAACCATGACAATGGGACAACAGAAAGACCCAGTGGTCAGTGGTCACCAGGAGAACCATCATTGCCTCCTCACCCCAGTCTCTCCTGTTGGCAGACAAGCCCTGTATGAAAATTAACTTCTATGACGCTCCGTCCACATGATCTGTCCACTGTGTCCATTCCTTTTCAACTCAGAAATCTGTGTTATCATGAAAGAAGTCTGAATAATGCTGGCAGAAACCAGGGTCCCATGTGAAATACCTTTACTGCTTCTGTTCTCTGCTGTCCATTTTGTTAGTAACATACATGAAAAGCTCAAATTGCACATATTTGTGGGACAGACCAGAATCAAGACTGCCATGTTTAGACCCTTTCTGCATTATTATTTATGTCAAGATAACATGGTGTGCTGTTCTCTACTTGAAATAGGGTCCAGGAGTGAGTTGTAGCTAGACAGTGAAGGAGATGCTGTCTGAGAGCTCTGTCACCTTGCGTGCAGACATCAGAAAGTACATGTGAAGCAGGGCCACAGAAAGGGAAAAAGACAGATGCAACAGGAGGGAACTGCTTTGCTGTTTGGACCAGAATAATCAGAGGAATCTGTGTAAATCAGATCTGGGAGGAAATTACAGAGCAGCTCTGTGCAACTTCATTCCTCTGCTCTATACCATGTCTCACATGAACAGAGGCACCACTGGCAGCACATCAAGGACAGCAGTAGGATTAAAGTTGAAGAACAGCCCATCTGTCCTGCACCTCCCCATTCTTTCTTGATGCTCCAATTCTGCCCTAGATATCTCCAACAGCCCCTTTCTCCCCAGTGTTGCACTCTCTTCCTCATACCTCAGTACATCCTATACTCTGTTTTCATTGTGGGTTTTTGCGGCGGGCGGAGGAAGCAAGCAGCCGATTCAATGTGAATGATAGAGCAAGCTTCAACTTTATTGAAAGAAATCACACCTTATATAAGCAGTCTACAATACACTACTTGTAACTCTATTGGATACATTAAAGAAACTACATTATAATATCTCAGCCATTGGGTACATCTAAAAGGTCACATTATAATATCCCAGCCCCTTGTGGCATCTCTGGTATGCATAAACATATTTCTTGCTGTGAACCTGCTTCTCTCCCAGGGCTGCTTCCCTTCACCCCCCAAGGTCGTAGTGCGCCCCAACTTATCTCTGTGTTCTCACAACAATCCTCGCTAGCACAACTGAGCTCTGGGTCTTCATCCTTGTTTACATAACTGTACCCTGGGTTCTTTCCTTTGTTTACCTCAGGTGGCTGGGACCAACTTCTGCAGGGAGCTATGGCCGACCAGCTCCTGCAGGGAGCTATGGCCTTGCTCTCTGCAAGCCGTTCTCCAACAGGTTTTGTTTTCAGGAACTGACAGCTGCTAAGTTAAGTGGTTTTTTGTTTTGTAGGTACTTGTACTGAGGTATCTGTGGTGTCTGATGTGTGAGCAATATATGATATATACTGAACAGACCCAGCTACAGAACTTGTACACTGAACAGTCCCTAAACAGTACATAAAAAACAAAACACAAAAAACCCACACCAAAAAAACCCCAAAACAATAAAGCAAAAACAAAAAACCACAAACAAACAGCCAAACCATAGCAGTGAAAGAAACAAAACCATAAAAAAAGCCCCAGACCATGTTTGTTTTCTGTCATGAAGTGAAATGCTGAGACAGTAGGTATGTGAAATAAGCTTTTCAGCAATGGGATAGTTGAGACTTGTGCCTTGGTTGTAAAATGGGTGTGGAACAATTTAGTGTTGGGAGATGATTCTGCATCCAGAGCAGCTTTCCAGTATTGAGCACTCATGTTAGGAATTACAGGATCATTCAGGTTGGAAGAGACCTCAAGTCGTCTCTAGTCCAACCTCCAAAGCAGGGTCAGCAATGAAGTTAGACCAGTTTGTTTAGTGTTCAGTCTGGTCTTGAAAAACTCCAGAGATGAAGACTGCACAGACTCTCTGGGCAACTCATCCTACTGTTGGACTGATCCTAGGATAGATGCCACAGTACAGCCTTCAGTACAACAACAACAGTCTGTCCCAATACAACCAGTACTTCACCCATCCAGTTGTCTACCTGTCCAGACCATAATGTCCCAATTTAGATACAAGAACACTGTGAAAGATGGTGTTGAAGGTGTTGCTAATCTCATAAGTGACATCCACAAATTCTTTCATCAAAAAAAAAGGCAGTCAGGAATGTTCAACAAGTACAATTTACTCTTGGTGAACCCAAACTCATTATTTCCAATTGCCTACTTCTCCTTTATGTGTCCAGAAATATAATCCAGGAGAATTTAGTTCATGTTTTTTCCAGGGACTGAAGTGTGACCAGACAAACTGCAGTTGCCTGGGATGTTCTTTGAGTGCTTTTTGAATATAGGTGCAACATTTCCCCAGCTGGCAAGAGTACCTATGACCTCTCAAAAATTATTGAAAGTGGCCTTGCTGTGGCATCAGCCAGCTCTCTCAGCATGGTTAGACATGGCTTTTCTGGTTCTATGGACTTGTATGAGTCAAATTTTCTCCATCAATCCCTGACTCATCCAATTATGACCTCAATGCCTGGGAGACCTTGCTGGTAAAGATGAAGAAAGCACTGAGTTCCTCAGGTTTGTCTGTGTCCACTCTCAGTAAACTACCCAGCCTATCCAGTAATGAGGAGAGGGGAGGGGAGGGGAGGGGAGGGGAGGGGAGGAGAGGCGAGGCGAGGCGAGGCGAGGCGG